TTTTTTTTTTTTTTTTTTTGGAAAATATCTACGATTTGTTTCACCGTGCGGCGCGGTGTGGGGCCGCTTCGAAGAGAAGAGGACTTCAAGCTGTTCCATCGGGAGTGAGCGAGCGAGCGAGCGAGACGGGTCGTCCCACGACGGGGCGGCTCGTGGTGGGGTGTCAGCCGCGGCTTATCTGGCGACTTTATGTATATTACGATGCCCAAGGCAGGAACACGAGCAGTTCACTGCTGGCTAACTGGTCGGAGAAGTCGGCAAAGCCGAGTCTGAGCGCGAGGGCCCGGTTCATCGAGAGAAACGTGTTCGAGAGCTAACGACACTGAATTAAGACTTCTGACACACGTACGCGCACATATATACTACAAATACACTGACATCGATATATAAATATATACACACACGTACAGATATATATATATATACATTGTATATATTTATGTAAACGTATATACATACATAAAAAAGAGAGAAACATCAACCGTTGGCGAACCAACCGAATAATTACGGATACATACGCGCGTGCATACCGGTCAGGTGCGCGAAAACATAACCGTAGTGGAAGCTCGGGGCGGTCCAGAGTTTGGCAAACTGATCGAGCCGTTATCGGTACTTCTCAGTGATCACTACGATCCAGGATGATCGTCCTCGCGTGGTCCTTGTTTGTGCTGGTTTCGTTACTCGTCGCCACCAATCAGGCGTTTCTCGCTGCTCCCGTATCAGGTATTGACAAGTGATCATTTTCTCTTCTTCTTGTATGTTAATTAATTCTCTTTTTCTTTTCTCTTCTTTTATACTCTGTCTCGTATTATTTTATTTTGAACGAGAACTGAAAACGTTGCGTGAAATCGTTATGAATACTGTAACAAATATATGTGAAAAAATATTAGTTGCTCGGTATGAATTACCGTTTGTCGATTTAAAAAGTTAAATACGATGTGTGTAAAATAGTGTGGGATGTGAGTAAATATATTCGATATAAATTACGTATCGATACGAAAAGTACAGTATATATGTATAAAACAGTGTAAAGGAAATACATATAGACATACGTGAGTAAATATTAGTCATTCGGTATAAAATAAAATTTTGGATGTATTGGTAAAATGGTATTTTTTCGAATTCTCCTTCGGAAAGTAGTTAAAGTGTCGGATGATAAAGTCGACGTCCTCACGTGGCGTCTCCGGTTGAATTTCCGCGTTGTGTTGGCGAATAATTGCCGCACACGTTTTCGTCCTTGTATGCACGAAAGACGCGAGAAATTGTTTCGATGGAAATTTCGAGTAAATGGCGTGACTTTCTCGCGTGTTTGATAAGACTGGTGAGTGTAAACTGTAAACAGTGATCAGCTATGCCTAAGGTTGTTTAAGTTTGAACCGGACGGACTCACGCGGATTTGTATGGTTTCGTGAATGAATCGCGGCTACGATTTCGCGATACACGGTCCTATGCTTCCATGTATCATCGTTCGAATTCACGCATCGTTCAATTATTGATCACAGTGAAGTTGAGGCAGCGTAGCTTTATACACTTACGTGGGATACCGATTCGTAATTGACTCGTGTTTTGATATTTGAATATTATATTTGGTAGCTAATACTTTATGTAAATAGGTCATTTATGTAACCTTCAAGTCACGTGGAGGTATAGAGAATTCATACGTCGACTGTCGACCGAATTTTGTACGCCTTACTTTACACATAGTCGATATGCTATCACTTATGTCAGTACGATAGAATATGTATATGTACGTAGTTCGCAAAGTGATTGCAATTGCTTAAACGCTTCATGGAGCGTTTGACAATTTTACGAATGTTTTTACACATTTAAATTTCTTTGTTTACCGATTATATTTTAATGGTAAACGCGTTGACAGATACACCGTATAATTAGTTTATACAACTATCTTTATATCTTTATGTCTATGAAAAAACGTATTATTTTAGCAGTTTTCATTGCCATTTATTGCACAGACCTGCGAGCATGTATACACTTGAAAGTATTTAGATCAAAATTTCATAGGCTGAAGTAGCAAAGCATAGAGTGACTACGAATTAATTTAGCTAGACGCGTACTGTAATAGAGCCACAGAACTTATACTAAGTTACTCCGGTCATAGTACCAGGTATAGGTTTATTATATATTTAGACGTCGTTTCAAAATTAATTGGAAATTGCGCTATACTTATTGGTTATGAGAGTCTGTTGCCACTATTTGCCCTCTTAAAACTGCCAAACACATTTTTTTGGAGTTAGTACGTTTAAAGGTTCCTACTGTCGCCTAAGTTTTAGGACACTGAACAATATCGTTTCTTCTGCCAAGAAAGCATACGACTTTCCAATTATTAGGGGATTATGCAAAGTTCCAATACTTTTATCTTTAATAAACTATTACAATTATCTTTTCAATAATGGTAAGATAAAGCGTTTACATTAAAAGGAAGAATTACGCTTGTTCGTGCACGTTTAAAGGAGTAGCCGTACTAGAATTTTATACTTCTTATTCTGTTTTTTAATACTTAATCGATATTATGAAGACTACAATTTGGATTAAAAAATTGTATTATTTGATCGTAGATTATTTCATTTCAGTTCGTGTTATATCACGTAAAATATAAAATGTATAAATTATAATGATCGTCTATAACTCACGATACCGGTATGACGTTCCTTAAACTGTACCTTCTTATAGTCGAGTCGTTTGATTTCTCTCTCACAAAAGTCCCGTTAATTTCTAAGGTATCAGCAACGTGATTCGAAATAATTGAAATAATCAAAGAACACAGAATTCGATGATGTAAATGACTGGAAAAATAATTTCGAATGGAATTTGGCGTTAACACAACGTTAGTCCTTAGTAATCTAAAAAAAGAAATTCATTCTCTAATGGCATTTCACATGTTTAATCTGGTTTTATCCATCAAACGGATTGTTTTAACTTCCACGAATCGTCAGCTAGGAGGAAATAGTTAGGTAAGAATTTAATTTAAGACCGGTTAATATTTCCGACAAGTTTGTCACGCATTACTATTGATCTTTGTACAAATTCACCGATTATTCTCGTTTATAGGAGTTTCTTATTTAGAAATTGTACATAGAACTCAATCTTACATCACATTATTATCGATTTATTTTCACTTGTTAATTCCCATTATTTAGCTATGAAGCATAGAGTTATGCTTTGTTCGAACTTCTTTATTTCAATCTGTATAATCTTGTAATTTTTATTTTTCATTAGATTGGAAAATTTCGTCGTTAGATTTTTACTTTTACAAATCTACTTATTCAGGTAATACGATCCTTACAATTTTGTTTAATCGAATAAAAATTACGACTTCCTTGTTTTTTATCTAGATGCAATCTTTGTACAATTTTTTCATCAAGAAATATCGAATAAGTATTCTGTATTAGATCGTGAAAGCACTAAAAGAATATTTTAATGACAGTAGTTATTACGTTGAAGACTAATCAATATTTAATTTACTTAAAATAATTGAACTTTTCCTTTCGAAAAGAAAAAGAAAGTAGAAAAGGAAAACAAATAAAAAGCGATTTTCCTATAAATCTGATATCTTCATAGATATCGCCCTTATTTCTCAGGCAGTGTTTATAGCATAGTTTGTTTATAACGTTCGATCTTACGAACCGACACAATTAAAAACTAATTAGCCAGAGACTCGAATTATGAAGCTCCTTCGCATTGATCGATGCCAGTATATACGTATACTACTGACGTTCGATCGCTATTTCTAGCAAGGTTTATTCGATAAAAGAGACATCCACCAATGATCTCATTCGATCTCTATGTTTATGGATGTCATTACAAAAACGTCATCCCTTAATTTCTGGTCCAGTATAATTCGTATTAGTCATTTAACAAGTTATTTCTTACTCACTCTTACTACTCACACAGCAAGAGAAAGTTTGGAAAATTCAATTTGCAGATATAATTTGAAAATTTGTTAATTCTCTTGCCTTGCATGTATTTAAAATTCTAAAAATTCTTCTCTTTCGGATAACACAAAAATTCCTCTAAGCCTCTTCCTTTTCTTTTCTGTGCAATTTAAAATTTCGAAAATCCTCCTAATTCCTAATGGAATTTACAAATTCTAAAAACACGTCTTCTTTATACATCCTCTATTTACTAAGAAAATTATTGTCAATGCATCCTCGTGCCAGTAAAATTGTCTTTTTACTTGATTCTGGAGCTGAATGTACGTGTTTTCATTTTCTCGACAATTTTTGATATTATTATATTGCTATATCATAATATATTGCTCATCATAGTACTAAAATAGCGAGGATATATGAATATTCGTCTTAATAATTATGTTCTTGTCCTCCACAAAATTTAAGCTTATCAACCATTTTTAAAAGAAGTGATTTCTAAATTTTGTTCATTTTCAATTACAATTTTACGTTAAAATTCTCCCGCTTATTATAACAAGAAATGGACAAAAATATACTTATCATATCTTGTAATCTTCAATTATTAGCAAGCTTTATATTACCTAGGGCTTAAAGTAATTATCTGTAGCTATTTTTATCAAGATACAAGTAAAATATACATATACCTATAGGCGATATCAAAGAAAAGAAACTCTCATACTTGTATGTGTTAAAAATGAAAGAATTTCTGTCTTTGGCTACGTGATTTTCGTGATCACACCGCACGAGATTACACGGTCTGCGTTTTCATTGTACTTCATACACGATCGTTATCACTTTCGAGATATTTTCGATGATCAGGATGATGAGATCGAAGTAAAACTGCAAAAAATACGCGGCTTAATTTTTAATGGATCGCTCGAGTAATCGGTTACATCGCAATCGTTAATGACCACGAGTACGGTCGAGTGCTTTCTTATTATCGATCGTAGAACTTGAACATTTAGAATCTTCGTAATTAGCTTTCATATATTTCATTATATTTACGATTGGATCAGAAAAGGTTTGGTTTTGATAAAAATTTGCTTAAATCAGACTAATAAATAGGGATTGATAATTAATAATATCAGTAGATTCATTGGTGGTAATAGGAAGATAATAGATTTATCTTTTAACAAAATTCCTGTATTTCAATTAACAAGCTTCGTTATACCTTTTATCTTTGGTATTATTATTTTTGCTCTATTTTTTTAACAAAGTTTTGATACTTTAATTTAAGCCATTATTTTTTTATCTTTCAATATTTTTTTCTTATGATAATCGTAATCAGTTATTTGTTTAAAAATATTTTTTTGTCCCTCGTTTCGTTTTATCGATAAATAAAGTTAGTTGCAACTATAAATATGTACATATTGGACTGAAAGAAATACACAGGTTCTCCTCAAATGTGTACAAGATTTGAAATATTTATTACCAGTGCTATTGGAATAGAAAACTGATAAAGTGTATATATATATATTTATGTATGCGTATGATATACATATATGATTATAACAAGTTTCCTATTTTCGAGGGGTGTCTCATTCGAAGACGCATAATTTCGCTGAAACAATACATTTCTTTTCACGGAATTTCTCCTCTATTTGGATGGATTTACTTTCAAGTACAACACGTGATTCGATTTCTTGAGAACCTGGCTTTTCTTGCATACAGGTACGTTCGAAGAAACCAATCATATCGATCATACTTGTTTTTAGATCGTATGATAAAGCGATGGTCAAGAATAAATCCCTTCTCGATATATGCATGTGAATCAGAAATCTTTGATGTAATAAC